ATAGAAATTAAATATATATAGCACTTTAGTACAATACCTATATGAAACTAAACCTCAGTCTCAATTTTAATTTCAACCTCAATCTCAAACACAATACTTCAAAATCCACTACTACAATTTGTATCTATAGCTACGAATTAAATCTATAAAAAATAAAATGGTAGCTAATAGGCAACAATAGCTACAACAAATCTACTATGTAGCTGCCTACAATTTGAAGTTTGCTGCAGTCATGATAGGTTGGATTTATTATGGAATGCATAATCTCTCATTTCCTCGATTGGTAAGACTTAATTGTTCAATTTTTGGAAATATATATATAGATTTTTGGATTAGCTTAGTTTTAGGAAATATATCTCTAGTTTTCAAACAACAATTCATGGAAATATCTCATTCCTCCTTTTTGTTGAGCTCATAACAAAAACACAGTTTTCTCACATGCATCTTGTGTAATGAGATGGAGTACAGCTTGCAGAGCCCTTTGAACTGTTCCTTTCCCTAGTTTGGTACTGTGTAGGCCTTAAAAGTTGCTCTTAATGTGTCTGAGTTGGTGATAGGATAGGGACATGGTGGTGAGGTTAGGGGAATGCAACATAGGTAAGGTTTAAAACTATGGCAAATCATGCAAATTAACCCTCAAACTTGTCAAGTAGTGTTAAAGAAGCCCCTCAACCCAAAACAGACACATCCTCCACCTTATACTTTAGGAAGGTATTAAATAAGCCCCTACCATCATCAAGATGTTTGAAACTAATGGAGATCTGCATCTGATTGGGATCCACTAAGTGATGTGGTGCACTGCTGGATTATTTTTTATGAGCAAGCCATTCACTTCAATGATTAGGCAAACAACTCAGCAAATTAACAAAAACTTAGTTAATTTTGGGGGTTAGGCCAGACAAAGAAGGGGAACTTTTGAAACCCTGACTTTTTTTTTATTTAAATAGATTTGGGGACAAACACCATGAGATCAGCATATTTTCTGATTTTGTAGATGATGAAATCTCAATATTTGCTCCTGCAGAACTAATAGGCAGTGTTTTCTTGAGATAATTAGGCAATAAGATGATAAACTAGGCAATAAGATTTTGTACCAATCACGATACGTAAAAACATGTTGCATAAGTGTCGACACTAACATTGTGGTGTCGACACGCCAACCAGTTCCGCCTATGTCAAAGAAAACTCGTTGAGTTGTTTGCCTAATCATCAAAGTGAATGGACAACTCATAAAAAATGGTCCAGCTGTGTGCCACATCACTCAGTGGATCCCACTTAGGTGCAGATCTCCGTTAGTTTCAAATGGTTTGATGATGGTAGGAGTATTTATTTAACACCTTTCTAAAGTATAAGGTGGGGGATGTGTCTGTATTGGGTTGAGGGGGCTTATTTAACACTACTTGACAAGTTTGAGGGTTAATTTGCATGATTTGCCTAAAACTATCATAGCAATTAAAGCTCCCAAACTTGCTCTATTCCGTTAGGCCATTTACCAATAAATGATAAATTAGCTGGGCTTTATTATTGAAAGTGAGTTTGAATTTTTGCAAACTCAGACCACCCATAATTTAGGCCTTGAATTTAAAACACTTTCTTTTAATCTGTATCATTTCACATTTTATCCAAGGAAAAAAAAAAGGACTTTCAACCTTCTCTTTTAATGATTAAATTAATTTTATTTGAATAGAGTGGGTTTATTTGTTATCATCCTTTAGTTGTTGCACCTCCAATGATGTTCTTTTTATTTGTCTGTACAATGTTCTTTACTCCTCTCTTCCATGGTGGGAGTTAGAAAGGAAATTGTTTGCCATTAACTCAAATAGGTGCAAAATTTGGACCAGGTACCAGTTAGGGTAATTAAATCAAAAGGTCATTCCTTTATTTTTAAATTAATATTTATTATATATTTTCAACAAAATTTATTCATTTCAAAAGTCCAAACACATATGGCATCTATTTCTAATAAAACTTTAAGCTCCATTAATTTTGAACTGATTTATAAAGGTTTTTTTTTTTTTCTTTTTTAAGTCATGTGAATATAACCCATTCAGGGAATTTTTATTTGGACCAATGTTCTAATGGTACGAAAAAATGATTGGGAATAGAAGAAAAAAGATTTAGTTTGACTCCAACAAATTTGCATTTTCTGAGAGGATTCTAAATGATTAAAGAAAGTATAGTTTCAAGTGGTTTCTTGGGTGGCATTGTTGACCTGTTGAGGTAAGTGTCATTCAAATGCATAGTTCAATGTTGTTGAACTTTTTTTTCTTTGTTTATGTATCATTGATAAGTTAATTGGTTTAAATTTTAATGTTATCTCAGATTGTTGAATCTGTACATGGGTTTCCTTATGGCATCATTGACCTGTTGAGGTAAGTGTCAATTTTCTACCCATAGTGTTAAAAAAACTGCATGTTATAGTGATTTATTCACATAATTCTTTTCAATAACTTCCAACTGAAAAGTTATTACATTTATCTTCTAGGAGTTTTGCAAATTTGCTTATAGCTCTGGAATTTGTTTCCATTTTATACAAGGAAAAAAAAAGACTTTCAACCTTCTCTTTTAACATGTATCATTTTCTTCCTCTTAACTTTCTTCTTCTGCAGTTTCTCATACTAATCCTATGTCTATTTCTACATTCTCATCTCGATCAAAATCAAAGGGGAAATAAAAAAAAATTGGTGGGAAAACTAACCGTGTACTACGTGCCCAATTTCTAGGCAAGAAGGAGGCGTCGACAACGAAAGTTAGCTCCTCTGGCCGATGGTGTGATGTGGAGCTGTCAAATCTACAAGAATGCGAGGGAATACGGACTGTAAATCGAAGGAAAACCAAACGGAGAAACATAAGAAAATCTACGAAGAAAGCTACAAAATTACCGTTAATGGCGTGGGGATTTCAAAACCAGGATGCACGTGGGTTAGGTACTCAGGGCAGCATGAATGGCAAAAGCTAACCTCGCTAGAGAAGAAAGCAGATCAAGAGGAAAAACAGAAGAAAATGGGGAAAGTAGGGAAGGTGGGGGTATAACCCAAGCATAATCGGCAACCAAAGTTGACCGTTATACTCAAAAAACAGCATCATTTCTATCTTTAACCGTCAACATTTTTGTCGGATATAATAAAAAAAAAAAAAACCAACAGAAAAAAGCTACCAATTATATGTAATCGACAGCTAATTTCTATCGAATATGTATATATTATCGACAGAAATCCTGCCGATTATAAGTACAACCGGCAACTAATTATAATCGGCAGTCATTTTGTTGATAATGGAAATATAATCAACAGAAAGTTGACTGTCAATAATGGAAATCATACATTTCATTCTCACTGCTCAACAAAGCTCCTATCAATCCCTTTTAATAAAAATTATTTATTTTTTCTCTCAAAATCATAGTTATTTTTATTTTTAAATTTAATATTATTATTTTGTATTTAGTTTGGTAAATATTTTTTTATTTTAATCAAATTATTATATTTATTCATTTACATTACAATAATCATTTAATTATAAATTTTTGTAACTTATATTATATTTATTTTTTAAAATAAATACAATAAATAAATTAATTAATTATTACTGAATGTTAATTTAAAAAATAAAAAGATAAATTATTTTAAAAATAGAAACAGCAATGTTTTTTATAATGCTAGTTGAAAAGTATTTGACTTGTAACTGGTTCAATTCCACGTTTCATAAATTGGAATGAGATTAAAGAAATTTACAAAATGAGAAAATAATGAAAAATATAAATATAATTAAATAATTAAATATATATAAATAACTATAAATATATCAAATATATTTTTATAAGTAAATAGATATAAATATATATAATAATAATATATAAATATAACTTCATTATAAATATCAATATAAATAATTATAAATATATATTGATATAAATATACATATTTTTTTGAGGTCAAAATTGTTAAAATTTGAAATAATTTAATAACCATAAAATAGAAAAATGTACAAAAAAGATTTCAAATAATTAATTAGTAATAAAACTTCTTAGATAAATTTTAAATTTAAATATTTGATGTTAAATTTTAGTAATATATAAATTTCAAATTAATGTAATAAACTCTCGATTTTACCGATTCGATTTTACAATTCCGATTTTACCTCACCAAAATGATTTTACCTAAACTCTCAATTTTGACAACCTTGGTCACTATCACTCTCAGTTAAATAATTTTGAACTTCTTCTTCCAATGTTTTCATTTCATCAAATTCTTCCTCTTGATCATCATCTTGACCCACACATTCTTCCTCTGCCACTAGTAAAACATGATCATTTAAAACAATCGAAGATTGCACCAATTATGGTATAAGAGGATCATCGTCTTGATAATAATCATTTCCACCATCACTCAACGATGAAAATATATTTTTTTTTCTTCGAGAATGGGATATTGGGTTGCCTTTTTTTGGTCAAATGTTTTGACCAATATAGGTAGTTAAGTCTTTTGCTTATTGCTCTGGTTCCTGCTTTTTCATGTTTCCTCTTCTTTTTTCCTTAATTTTTTTCAAACTTTTCATCTAGAATTTATAAGTAATATTATATAAAATTTCTACCAATTAATTAGCTATATGTTCTAAACATATATAAAAACATATAATTGAAACACATAAATATAAAAGATAACCTAATATCATAATTAAAGTTCATGATATAGAATACATATTAAAGCACTATGTTCTAATCTCATAGATGGATAAGGGAAACTAGAAAATATATTATAGAATATAGGTAAGTAAGGTAAAGATACTACGGTTTTTGAATAAAACGTAATTTTTGACATGCCTCATCCCAAGACTTTTTTGTAAATGTAAGACACCAACGACCATTACCAAAAATCTTTGTAATAGTTTCAGAGGACTCAGTAGGTGTTATGGATGGGTCTGACGCAATTTTTGATCGGTAACGATCTGAGCAAACTTTTGCTATGTGACCCTCACGGTTATATAGTTGACAAGCTACTTTATATTATTGCAAGCATATAGTAGCTAAATGTCCAGGAATATCACATATTTGACAAACAAAGTTGTCTTCATTTTTAGGCAATGGAATGTCTTGGGGCATTGCAATATGATTTCTTGATATTGTCAACTTCTTCCTTGGAGGACTCCGAGATGAACAATCACATAATGATTCAGGAGTATCCTTAATAATTCTTATGTAAATTAACATAAAATTAAGTAATATATTAGTAAATGGTATGCACCAACATGAAATAAAAAATTATGGGAGGGAAAAGGAAAAAGAAATTAGACCATCATATTGTGCTTTTGTCAACTTCTTCCTTGGAAGACTCCGAGATGGACAATCCCATAATGATTCAGGAGTATTTTCAACAATTTCTATATAAATTAACATAAAATTAAGTAATATATTAGTAAATGGTATGCACCAACATGAAATAAAAAATTATGGGAGGGAAAAGGAAAAACAAATTATATCATCATATTGGCTGTCAAAGTAGAGTTGATTGTCCATTTGGCTGTTAAAGTTTGGTTGACTATCCATTTGACTATCAAAGTACGGTTGACTATCTATTTTGCTCTCAAAGTAATCTTGACTGACTGTCCATTTTGCTCTAAAAATAATCTTGACTATCCATTTAACACATAATAATTTTATAATCAATTAATTAATTAAATTAATCATAGTTTACTTAACAAGTAAATATGTAATTATGATTTAATTAATCAATCAATTATAATCATTATAATTAATTATGATTTAACTAACAATGTAATTAATTATAATTTATTTCACAATTAAAGCATATAATCATAATTCTCTAATCAATCAATTAATTAATTGAAAAATCTATATTTATCAATCAAGTAAATAATGAAATCATAATTTTATAATGAATTTGATATATAAAAATTCAATTTAAATATCATTTTAGTTCAATAATAATGCACATCTCAATCTTAATATCAATCTCTCAGATCGAGTTAATTTGAAATAATTAACAAGTTTACAATCATAAAAAATCAACATAAATATCGCTCTACTTCAATAACCATAGATATTTAAACATCAATCTCAACCTTAATCTCAAACACAATAATCCAAAATTACTAACTTTATATATACAAATTTACTAAAAACAACTCTTCAACTATGTACAAATCTCAATATCAGAAACTTGAAAAAAATAACTGCAATTCACTGACAATTCATGCAATAGTAGTAATAATCTACACTAATCTACAAATAAAACAATATATTTATATATAAAAAAAAGCCACAAAAATCCCAATTACCTCTGCAGTGGGGACGTTGATGCTGTGAGGCCAGTAAAAGCTGGATTTCAACCTACAAAAAAAAGAAAATTGGGGTATTGTAAACCCAAATCCAAGGAAAAAGAAAAAAAAATTGTGCTGCAACTTGCAGGGAACCTCCTTTAGGTGGTGTGGTGACTTAGAGGCGCTAGAGGCTGGACCAAAAGGCACGGATCAACCAGGAACAATGCAAATGTGCTGACTGTAAATCCATGGAAAATAAAAGAAAAAATAAATCAATCAACCGACCAGGAGAAGGGCCAACTCACCGGCACTGGCGCGGAGCGAAGATTTCGACAACAGGGGGCATGACGGAAGAATAGCAACAACAAGCTTCGCCAGAGAAGAAACCAGATCTACCACCACAGAGGGAAAAGCAGAAATGGGGAAGAAAGAAGAATCGAGGGTGATATGAACTAGTATATTCGGCAGAGAAAACGATGTCGTTCCTGCATTTATAATAGAGAGCACCGCTGCCGATTATTTAGAATACATAATCAACAGCCTCTTCATGTTGAATAAACATATTCGTCAGAAATATTTCTGTCGAATATGTAGATATATTCGATAGAAAGGTTGCCGAATATAAATGTTGTCGATTAAGTACCAAGTTTCCGTTATGATCGTCAATTTTACATATTTGTCAATCTTTCTGTCGATTATGTTTACATTTTCATTAGGAACTGGGCTGTCAATTAAAATCTTGTCGAATATGCCGCGTTTTCCAATAGTGCCTACATGTCTTACATTATGATTCTGTAAGTTGTCTTTGTTGACGTGCCAAAATGGATGGAGTCGCCATCTATCCAAATGAGGTGGGATAGATCACCAAAATCTACGCAGAAATTGACTAGGTTCAGAGGGTCGGTTAAGCATGGGGAAGGTATTAGGCACCCCACGACTTCCATATAAATATGATTACCACATACTTTAATTTTGAAGAATTTTAATTTTTGTGAAAATAATAATAATTACCAAGAACATAAAACAAAAAAAAAAAACAAGAAATAAAATAATAAAAAAAAGCTTCAAAAACCCCATCGTTGTCCCTTTTCCCGTTTCTTTTTTTTTATATTTTATTTCTTTTTGTTTCAATTTTTTTTATCAATAATAGCCAAAAAAAAATCACCTCCGAAAAATTAAACAAGTGCAGTACGTCATCATCTTCTTCTCTCCTTGCTTCTGTTTCTGGGCTCTTATATTTTCTTTTTCTGCACTTTTCCTTTTTTTT